GTCCTGACAGCAGTCCATCCACAGCGTAACACATTGAAGTTCATCCGACATCGCTAGAAACGGGCTGTATCCTTCTCTCGGATTTGAATCGGAAAACTATCATTGAATTGAAATTGGTCATGAGCAAATTTATGGCTATTATTTTGGTCTGGCAGGACATGCCCAGAGAGTGAGAGAGAGAGAGAGAGAGAGAGAGAGAGAGAGAGAGAGAGAGAGAGAGAGAGAGAGAGGGGGGGGGGGGAGAGGGTGGTCATATCCACTGCGTTACATCAAAATACCCCTCAAAGTGTCGCTTTCACGGCTGTTAGAACGTATTCACCACGTCCACACCGCACGCAAACCGGCCAGCCAGATCAGGGGTGCCAAAAATCGCCTAAGCACGACGTTAGCTCCGCTGAACTCTTAACTCTTCCCCTCCGTCTTCACCTCGGAATCAGTCTCCGCACCTTTCGACAGTCAGCTGTCTTCTCCAGAGCGGTATTCATTGTGAACTCAGCTTGCACCACTAAGCTCGCCGTTAAGCCTGTTGCTCACAAATCTGCACTGCGTCTCTCATCATAGTTGTCTCGTAAGATCAGCTGTGCCACTGAGCGAGACAAGAGCCGCGTTTACTCCGCGGATCGCTGGTGCCGAGAGGTCGTGCGTGCAGCTGATGGTCTTCATGTTCCGAATGGAGGCAGAAATAAAGATGCCTTGCGTGTGCCAGAAGTCCGTCATCTTATCTTTCGTTGTTCTGTGTGGATGGACCTTTTCCTTGACCGCTCAGGCCGACCAGGCCGAACCTGCCGCCGGCTGTTCGCTCTCCTTTCCACAGAGCACGGAAACATGCCCAGCTAGGATGGTTCAAAAATGCAGCTAGCCCAGGGACCGCAGGACAGAAATTTTGCCCATGGAGTCAGATTAAAATCATGCTATTGGTGGATGTTGATGCTCAGCGCAACGTCAGGCTTTTCTTCAGGCCTGCTTGTTTGTAAAGTGAAGAAACCTGTCGATGTCATTTTAAAAGCATCACCACGGATCCCTACAAGCTTGCAGAGGCAATAATCGCTCAGCTCCAAGCCACGGATGGTTCGTCGGTGATTTCATCTTCGAGCGCCGGGTGTTTATCTGTGGGAGGCCGATCATAGCACTGCGAGGCCAGCATGTATATGTACTGTGACCAAAGCAGAGTTAAATTTTTTTCCAGAGCCGACCCTGCTCAACGCCAATGTTGAGTTTCTCGCACGAGGATGATCCGGCTGCATTGTTCCAAGAACGGACCGACCAGACAGACAGAAAGCAGCGCTGTCGTCCGACCACTGAAACTGAAACTTAGCTCACGACGTTCTCACATGCATGTGACAATGTGTGCCCTTCGGCCTACAGCCTGAGCGCCCCATGACACATCCGTGGTACGGTCTGGGAGTCGATCAGTGTCCGGCACGTATAAATTATCCACCATGTCGCTCTTCCAATCACACATTAGTATGAGTATTGCCAAAGGGACCCACATTGCATCTCAGATAGTGACCGCGTGATGTCTTGTAGCATGTGTAAGACTGTTCCCTGAATTTATAACAGATGCTGAACGGACAACCGCAGCGATGGTGTATTCAAGTTCTGAGTCACGAGCTAAGCTTGACTGTAAAGCGCATGGTTTTCCTCACAGGTATCCTCCATACTTCTATTCTACATATATAGAATAAGTTGCCCTGGTTATATTCGTGTCATCAGTTTCATGAAACAAGCAAAGCCCGCAGCTTCCGCAGCTTTGCCTTGAACCTGCACTAGCTCTGTAGCAGAATGTCTGAGGCTTAGTTTAGATAACTTCTCGTGGATTTTGCAATTTAATTGGAGATGCGTGCCTTAGTGAGCAGAAGGTGATGTCTAGTGGTAATACCCAATGTTTTGGAAATGGAGCGTGTTATGTGAACTGCGTCTTGCGTTAATTGCTACCAAAGGGTTGCCGAATAAGGTGCACACGTTTGCGACTGAACTCGTGCATCAACGTCAAATCATAACAGGGAAAAGATGGCTCCAAAGACTTCGAAGGGATCTCGAAAAAAGGTGAGCAAATTGGTTTCCGCCGGCATGCTGCAATCCACTTTTACAAAAGCAAATAAAAATATATCCCTTTTCTGCAACGAACAATGGACATTTGAGCAGATCTCACGTAACAAGGCTTAACCAAGAGTTGTAAATTAACTTGCGCCCGGGTGGCCGGTTAAATACCCTTCGCTCGGGTGAGAGATAATCTGTCCCGCTGAGATCTCAGACACTAGGAGAGCTGGATTACACCAGATTCAAAGTGTGCTGACTTGTCGTGAACTTTACGTAAACTCACTGTTGTCAAAAATTTGGGGGCCCGTAGGTCATGACTGTCAGGTCAAATAGGGTCAAATAAGGCTATAGTTGAGATTGGTGCTCAAAGTGCCCCAGAGCCTAGATACCTATTTTAAGCAAAAGATCACTGGTGCTCATTGAAGGTCGGTCACCTTTTTTGACCTCTTGGTATTAATGGTAGCCAAAATCATACAAGACACTTTGCATTTTGCATTTAGATAAGTGTCAAAAATTACAGTAGGCATTGTGTCCCTAAAACAATGTTTTCCCGGCCATGCTAGGTCAGTGACCTATCCTGACCTTTAAGAACTCTATGGACGATGTGTAATACGATTCTTGTGATCAGTAAGTTCGAAATGAGCACCAAAAACTTCCAACCACAGCAATCACTAGAGTAATAAAACAGATTGGTTGAACTAGGTCCGACCGTCATGCCTGACCTTTGGTCAGTTGAAGCTGTTCACTCCAATTATTGTGTGCCTAGAAGCTATTGCAAAGCTGTGGGCTTCTTATAACCTTTCCGTTATTGCATCACGTGGAACGTTTCGCGTAGAAATGGTCTTCGCTGAATCCATAGTATGACGCGGGTCTACCGTGCGTAAGTGACCTCACAAGATGCATCTAAATTGTTTGTACCAAACGGCCCGAAATTTAAATGTATATAACCTTGCAAAATCTGGCACGGCTATGCCACGCCGTTCGGAGCTCATTCCGGGAAGAAACCTCCAGGAGGGTCAAACTCCCCACCCAAACGCGTGTTTTAATACGCGCCCAGGTGGCCGGCTAGACACCCTTCGCTCGAGTGAGGGTCTATTTGATCCCCTTCCCTGAGATCTCGGGAACTAAGAAAGCTAGAGACACCCAAATTTACAGGATGTCTTAACCTGTACGTGAACTCACTTAGGTCAAAGTCTGAGCCTCCGGGGTCATAATCTTCAAGTCAAATAAGGTCAAACAATGTCAAATTCCGGGTTGGTCTCCAAAACGCCCCCAGAACCTAGGCAACTGTTATTAAGTAAAATGTCACAAGCCCAGTTGAGGTCAGTGGCCTTGTTTAACTTTTTGAAGGTCATGGTGACCAGAATCATACGAGACTGCTTCGAGTCTTGCATTTGAAGAAGCGACAAATATTACGCTAGGAAGTATGTTCCTAAAGCAAAATGTCGACTCGGGTCATCTTAGGCCAATGATCTCTTCTGACCTCTAAGAAGTCACTGGATGATCTATAATGCGGTTTCTGCTGTCAATAAATTCGAAATGAGCACTAGAAATAATCCCATACAACAAGCCTTATAGAAATAAATCAGTTTGGTTTTGACCTTGGTCTGACCTCCATACCTGACCTTAGGTCAACGTAATTTGCTCACTCATATTTGTGGAAAGTATCTCAGAGATGCGTGTCTTCGTCAAACACTCCGTTGTTGTATCAGATTAATGGGTTCCCCTAGAAATTGCCTCCGCTGAAACCATGGCCTGACTTTGGCCTGCCATAGGTCAGCGACCTTACGAGACACATCTGATTTGTTTCATGTCAAACAATTTGCTTGAATAGCAAATTGCACAAAATTTGGCGCGGCTACGTCGCGCTGTTCGGAAACCATTCTGGGACAAGTTTCGGGGTGGTCATTGTGACCCCCCCCCCCCTCCAACCGAGCGCGTGTTGAGGTTGAAATTGGTGCCCAGACATACGAAAAGCTCATTCATGCATCGGTTTAATGACCATTTTTCATAAGACTTGCAATAATATCGGCCCCGCTTCACCGTTTTTTCTACGTTTTTTGGTCCGTGGATGGTTTGTGATACGGCTTTATGTGAGATGTGGCTCTAAATCTGCTGAGGTGCCACTCCTCTGCAGAATTCTGTGGTGCAATCCAAAGGCAAGGCTTTGCGACCAAAACAGAACAAGAAACCTGGCAGGGCAAAGCAGGCTTCTTCTCCAACAGGACCAGTGGCAGCTGGCAGAGCAGGGAAAGGCTCGGCTAGTAAAAAGAAAGCGAAAAAACGAAAGAAAGGAAAGAGGAAGAAAAGGAAAAAGAAGCGTCGAGGTAAGTACACGTTTATGAAAGCAAGTATCTATGTTTACCAAAGAGTGATGACTCTCCGCTTTGGAGGAAATGTTAGCGCCATACATGTTAGTACCATGCATGTTGGTGTCATACATGCTAGTGTCATACATGTTGGTGTCATACAAGCCACACGCAAAGTGTGGCTCGCATCGGAATATTTAAGTCATATTTACCAATCGTGGCGCCAGTTGTAAGTGGAAAAACACGAAATGAATACAACATGGATGGACGAACTGAGTGATTCATAAACATTTAGGCAAATATAAAGCAAGTTTGTGCTTGAAACCATCAATGACGGTCTGAAATGCTTGATGGAAATATCAATTTCCATTTGACCCCAAATACGTTACAGACCCGGGCCCACAAGCATGATGTCACCCACACGATCTGTGTTTTTCCATTTGGGTCAAAATGGCACTTGTCTGTAAGATGCACAGCCGCAGCCAAAGGCTTTCCGCTTACGCGTGCACTTCCTTCTTGTAGCCCCCTCGATGGCTACTGACAGCGTTGAAAAGCAGCGTGACAAGGTTTCTCTAAACTCCCTCGCTCCTTATGAAAATCCTAGGTGCGTGTGTGTGGGTGTGTGGGTGGGTGTGTGGGTGTGGGTGTGTGGGTGTGGGTGGGTGTGGGTGTGTGGGTGTGGGTGTGTGGGTGTGGGTGTGTGTGTGGTGAGTGTGTGTGGGTGGGTGTGTATGATCATTTGGGCTTTAGACGCACTCAGCGGCTGAGGCTATATGGTGCCGCCTGCCTCTTACCATGGCAGGAAGGGCGGGTACTGCGGGGGTTCCAACCCCGTACCTCTGGTTGCCCAGACGCGCAGTGGTCAACGCAGACGTGTTAACCGCTACACCTACGGCACCCCAATCCTTGCTGCATCCCAGGCATGCTTCTATATAAAGAAAATAAAAGACTGAGTTTTTATTCGGTGCAAGAATGCACCGAAATAGGACCAGCTTGATGAACTGAATTCAGCTACACTCGGCGCGTCTAAAAACACCTCTTTCTCTCAAACCAATCCTGGATCAAAAACATTTGAGTCACTGCTTTCATGAAAGGAAGATATCGATGCAATCGGTGGCTCGTTGGATTTCAAATATTCAAATTTAAAATCGAGGCCTGCCCATTGCTTAGCCTGTGCCTATGGGCGTTTTTGGCCACTTCGCCGCCCTTTAATGGGGCCTTGGAGACACCTTGAGATCTAACGCACTAAGCAGGCACGGGCCACCGATAAAGCTGCATTGAAAAGCTCGTCTGAACTGCATTCGACAAGGCAGGATTGACCAATGGTGAACGTGACCCGTTGAGCTTATGTGGAGTGTTTATTTGCATGTTGTTTTGAACTGAGATAGACATTTTGAAGATCATTCGGTGCAGTTCACAGCGCTCCCTTTCTTAAAACTTAAAACCGTCTGGCTTCTGAGCTGGCGCCCGCGAAGTTGGGCAGACCATTTCGTTCTGACTATTTCAAGTTTACGCAGGCATGCATGACGCCATAGACGCATCACTGAAATACTTCCACCCTATTGGTCATGCGGAATTCAAGGCCAAAACAAAAAGGACGTCAAAATATTTATACTTGACTTATGTGAGCACGATTTATGGAACCAACATACTTCAACTGGCTCTCGGCTAATGCAATTCAGCCAGTACGAGTTTCAAACACGAGTCACGGTTTGTGCTATGCAATAAAGGCAGTTGGCCAGCGTCACTGGAATCGAAGAACTTAATAATAACGCCACAACCGAGCACTAAATGCCAGTAAAAAATACAAAATGACGGATTGATATACAAGAACACGACTAGACGGGGCCAAAACACGCACACACAATGATGTTTGAGTTCTGGGGACGCTGCACCCATTACCACGGCACCTCTGGAAGAGTTGAGGTACCGCAAAAGTCATCCCGTTCGCTCGGATGACAATTTTTCACGGCCAGTTCGGTAGCCCATCTGACGTCTCACAAACATTCCACGCTGCAATCAAGCAAATATTTTAAGCTTGTTGTCTAGGGCTGTCTTTTGCACTTAAAGGTGCAAATATCCTGTGAATTAAATTTCTCTAGATCCATTAGTTTGTGAGATCCCAAAGGGCTGAATTGCTCTCCACCCGCACCCAGGCGGCGTCGTATTCGACCAGTCTCCTGGACGCGTGTTAACACGCGATACGACCCTGCGTTTCAGCAAAACCAGACGTCTTCAGTGCAGTGGCCATGGAGAACGCGTACTACATTAGTCACAATGCCGGTGACTTCCTAAGCTTTCGAGGCTTCAAGTGGACAGGCGGGAAGAAGAAGAGAGGCAAGAGCAAAAAGAAGAAGCGCGCATGGTGAACGGGCTAACTGGCTTCAAAAAGCGACGGAATATGACGCGCCTGCAGGCCTACCGCGAAGGAGGCCAGGCCGGCAGGCGTGCTGGCCTCTGGCTCGCTCATCCTCTGCGGCAACGATGGCCGCAGCGCCACCACCGACGGAGTACGTCTGCATGAGGAGCGAACGAATCTGTGGTGACTGCGGAACCTCGCAGCCAATGAAACGATCTCGAACGTACCGCACAGATCTCGTGCGCACAGATCTCGAATGTGCCGCACGAATTTCGAACGTGTCGCATAGAGGGCATCCGGGTCCGTAAGGAGGGCGGTGGCAGCGGAGCGGGGCTGCGCAATGTCAGCGATGATTGATGGATGGGGAAAAGCAGAGATATAAACGTGCATCGTTATCTGGGAAGAGAAGACATTGGGGCGATGCAAAACAGAACGCGGGGGAACTAAAGCTTGACACGATCCAGTGGGCATAGCATAATGATCAGATTGAGAGATTGGCGCTGAGTTACTGTCCACGGTACCATCACAAGCCTGGAATGAGTTTGTTGTCGCACCGGTCACCGTTTTTCGGTGCGGATGTATGTCGACAACAGCGAATGAGCGCACCAAGACTGTTATGCAGGGATATTGATCTCCTTCGCGACCAGTCATGTTATGGTTTTACCGGTCAGCATGACTTCTATACAGCGCTGTCTTCTTTCAGCATTTCCTGATGGTACGAAGCTATTAAAGACCGATAACGCTGAAGATCTAGCACCATCAGCACCACGAGGGCGCGCCAAGCGATCGCTAACGTAGCCAGTTCGAATCAGCCCAGCGGAATTTTGCAATGCGATCGTAATGGCTTCTTGTGGGGTGGAACTTTCCAGATTCATTGCCTTTATGCTGCATGGAGAACATCTGTGGCTCCGCCTGTTCAGACCTGAACCGCCGTGTCCTGTGTGTGTCTTGCTTGCTGGCTTCGGACCTCTCGCTCTAGGGGCTGCTAATGGCTCCACAATTGCACGCGAATTGCGCGAATAATGCAGCACATTACCACCCGCGGCGAGTTATTTCAGCTCTTTTAATGTAAGAGTCGAGATGTCGAGCGATGTGGCTCAATGACTGCTGTGTGGGCGTCATGGTGATGCATGACGCCATCCGTCTGGAACAACCAGGCCTACAGCCAGACCTACGACGGGGACAGGCATCAAGAGACGTGCTGAAAGCCTAGTACTGTGTATTCGTGATTATTATAGGAAATACATCATGCATAGCTCACAGTCGTATTTGAATTGATGAATCACTCCGTCAGTTAGTTTCGGGTCATCATCAGCTCTTCAGACACTCGCATTCCTTTCACCCCTTCCAGCATGGTACACTATGCACCTTGCGGCACACAGCATGTGATGCCGAACACCGCAAACTACAAATGATTCAGACTTCCTTGAATCGTCCAAAGGGATTGGCTCAATCCTCGGAGGCGCCGGCGGAACTGCCCACTTACCCAGCAACGCAGCGTGTCAGACGAAATGAAATCGATGCAAATGTAATTACCACCACTGGTTCAACTCTTCAAATTGGATCACCGAGTTTGGGCAAAATCATCGAGAGATGCAAGTTCTCACCGAATGTATGTGCTTGAGCCAAAAACACAAGCTTTCCGCTTTACCAATCATCAAAGGGATTGGCTTAATCCTCGGAGGTACCGGCGGAACTTTCCACTCACTCAGCAACGCAGTGTGTCAAACGAAATAGATGCAAATGAAATAAATGTAAAAGAAATGAAATAGATGCAAATGTTATTGCCACCACTGGCTCAAATCTTCACTTCATATCACTGAGTTTGGGCAAAATCATCGAGAAATACGAAAATCATCGAAAAATGATACGAGAAATAAAAAAATAGAAATACACCGAATATATTTGTTTGACCCAAAACCACAAGCTTTCCACTTCACCAACTCAGCTCCGTGCATTCAGCTGAATCAGTTTTGTTTGCTTGTTTTGTTCTCCTATCCCACAAAACACTTGCCGTGTCAAAGTGTCACACAAACAGTTTTGCCTTCATTACGACAATATGAACATGTGGAGTCCATGCTGTCCGCGTCTGTCTCACGCGTGATTGTCGGGCACGCCGAAAGCCTGTTTGTAATTTGCAAGGACACGACGTCCAGTTTGAAATGATTTTACTTGTGTGTGGAAGGAGCAACCTTGGCGGAGTTGATGCGCGGGAGTTGATGGTATGGTGGCAGTCGTGTTGACTCGGTCTCTGTGACAGACTTGTGAACGTCTGGATGAACGGCTCGCTGGATGATGGGTATTTTGTAGATGGTCGATGGACAGCAGGTGACACTAAGCCCTTAACGGGACCGGTGGATGACTGCGTGGAAGGCTTGTGGACCGATGAACAAGCGGTCGACCTCGGCTTTGTGGACGGTTCGTGGACAGCTGAGTGGACAGATTTGCAGCCGGTCGGTAGACGGCGCTAGGCCTCTGATGAAGCCTTTCTGACCCAGCCGGAGCGGATCTCCACCAGTCGACGGTTCACAGCCGGGATCAGCTGAATCAGCTTCCCGATCACGCAAATGATCGGCAGGTACAGGGCGTACTGAAAACAGCGATAGCACGCATCACTAATACGCCCCACGGCTCTGCAGACTGGCTTTTAATGGAGATCGCGAAGAGCTGTCATAGACGCCCGTCGTAGTTCTATGGCATCTCCGCCACCCAAAGGGCAGCAAGCCACAGGAGTCACTATCGCACCGTTCCGAAGCCGAGCGTGCAACCGACTCAGGCGGGAGCGACATCTATGTTCCATTCCGCAAACTGATAGTGATATAAGGCAACGTAAACGTCGCCAGTACATGAGAATGCATTTTACCTTGACCTGTGGGCGAGCAGTTGCGGGGCCCTTTGCAGTTACACACCGCCACCGACGGCGCTTTCTGCCACCCTCAGACATGACCAACCACCCCCTCCACAATGGACGTTGCCACTCCCAGATATCACACTCCCACGCGATCTCTGCATTTTCAGACGCGCTACGTAACTTCCAAACGGGCCTTTCCACCCGGGCAAACCCTCTCAACCCGGATGTCTATTTCCCCCCTCCCCCACCCCAGGTCGGCTGCCAGATGTCCCGGAACCCAGCCCTCCGATGTGGGCTGACCTGTAGGCCGGTGGGCATGTAGCACTTGTAGCTGGTGACCATGAATTCCCAGCCCAGCACGGCGTCGTGCAGGGAGGCGGCCATCAGAGCCGTCCAGCCTAGCTTCGACTGGACGAACGCAAACTCGCGCCACGTGAGGCGCGCGGTCACCGACGGCAGCGATGCAATGCCCAGAATGGCGAGCAGACAGAGTGCGACCGCACCTGGGACGGGCCAGGGCAGGTCACAGTGAGGGGGACACCCAGTACGGCCAGTAGACAGAGTGTGACCGCACCTGGGACGGGCCAGGGCAGGTCACAGTGAGGGGGACACCCAGTACGGCCAGTAGACAGAGTGCGACCGCACCTGGGACGGGCCAGGGCAGGTCACAGTGAGGGGGACACCCAGTACGGCCAGTAGACAGAGTGCGACCGCACCTGGGACGGGCCAGGGCGGGTCACAGTGAGGGGGACACCCAGGACGAGCAGCGAACAGCACCAGTGTACGAGGGGCAGGGCAGAGCAGGTCACAGAATGGGGATGTCCAGGACAGCTAACAGCAGGGCAGCACTACCCCGGCCACAGGCCAGGTCATGCATCGGAGAGGTAACGTCCAGGACAGCCAACAGCACGGCAGCATCGCCCCTGCCACAGGCCAGGTCATGTAACAGAGAGGTAATGTCCGGGACAGCCAACAGACAGAGCACCGGCGCACCACAGGTAGGTATGGCCAGGTCATGGCAGAGGGAGGTAATGTCCAGGACGACCACCAGATGGAGCGCTACCGTCCTGGGGCAAGTCAGGTCGTGTCACAGGAGGAAAGAGTATCTCATATAACCACAACCTGGAGCAAGGCAGGTCAGGTAATACCCCAGAGAGACCGCGCCAAGGATAACAAACGGATAAAAAGCGTCGATTAGACCGAACCACTACAGGACAGATGAGCCATCAAATTAAAGACAGACGATACCCTCTGCCCCTTGTAGTAAGCTTTGAAAGCATCTGTATGCGGTAAATACGTAAGCATGCACAAAGCTGCACAATGCAAACCTCTGATATGGGATTTAGGTCACACAAGCTGTTGCACAAGTTGCATTGTCCGTGCAACACTGCTCATTCTTGGGCTTTGTGCTGCAACACGTACTCACGGCCTTGAATAACGTTCCAATAAGCTTTCATCTGCTTTCATTCGCATCCCGTTTGACCCAGGGGACCATGCATGAAAATAACAGAACGGCTTGTCTGGTTTATTAAAGCCGCGGGCTGCGGTGGCGGCCGGCTCCGGCGGCGGCGTCTGAGGCCAGCTGCGCAGTGACGGGAGTGTCAGCGGCGGTGGTGCGGACAGACCGGACATGCCGTCCCGTCGCTGAGACGTCACCAGCCGCGTCCGGGGTCGCGCTGTCGGTCGGATGGCGCCACCCCTCGGCCGCCGGGCCGCCATGTTCTCATGCTGCAGCGTTCTGAATACGTTTCCGCTCGCGATTTCGAAACATGTTCAGCTGCAATGTGGTTTTGAAATCACTAGCTTACGGATAGTTGTATTTTTGCTATAAAAATGAAGGGACTCGAGGAGCAAACGAGCTTTTGGACCCAAGCCATAATCAAATGAGAGCTAATTCAGGTGCATTCTATGTAACAGCACCCTTATAACTGCACAGGTATGCCATCTTTTCACCATCGAGTTTATGAGTGTGATATCTTGTGGTATATACTCTGCGTATGTGCTCATACGAATGATGTTCGGAAAATACACATTCATGGATTATAATTTCTAAATGTTCTAAAGCCGAGATATAGTTTGTTTCTTGGCTCGCTCTTTTTCCTAAAAACCCTCAGTAGTGTGTAAAGTATCATCTTAAATTTACAGTTTTGTCGAAATTTCATGAGCCATCCGAAATGGAACGAACTGTGCTCATCGTCTGGTTCGTGGTCTGCTCGTCTCCCCCTCCCCCCCCCCCCCCCCCTCCAATTCATGTTAAGCTGTATCCTTTCAAACCCGGAGAAACTGCAGCCGCTTTACGCACAGCTCGTGATCTTGTCGGCATCGGAAGGGAACAATTAATGATTCAGGGTCGTCACGAGGAATGAAACCGTCGTCGGGTGTGCAAAATTCGCCGAAAACCGCGCAACCGTGTGCACTGTGTGCGGCTGGCTGCAAAGATGTGCGCAGACAGACAGACAGCCTGACACATCCTCGAAAATTAGTGAACTGAATGTGCAGAATCCTGTGGAGTTCCTGTGGTATGACGACGTGAAACATTTCAACGCCAGCCATCTCCTCAATCACCGGCACCGCGTAAATGTGGGGGTACCCGCGTGCTACGCCCGACGTCGGCCTGGATCCGCCTCTGTCCAGGGTGACGCAAGAATAGCACCGGCGGCCGGTCCCAAACGCCTCAAGCCATTCCTGCGTCCTACTGGGCAGAGGCGGATCCAGGGTGACGCCGGGCGTGAAACATTGGGGCACTGCGTCCATGGATGTCGGCGTCCCTACGAACAATCCGTCATGGCGGATGATGGCTTTTGTAATGTCACACGCATACATGAACGCAAACGGGATACCATACCCAAACTGACCAAGAGTGAGGAAGAGCTCGCCCCTCCAAGTCGGGTGGTGAAACCAGATGTTGACAGTCTGGGTTTCGAAGAAGGTCTTGTTGACTTCGACCTCGGCACGGATGGTTTTTGGTGCTTCAAACAGCCAGTCGTATTGGTGATGCGGGTGGTAAATGCCCAGGGAAATGCAGCCCTGCAAACGGAACCGATGAATTCCAAATATGTTTACCGCATAAGCGTGGTTACCTTTTGTTTGCCCCTACAAAGGGGCAGGCACAAATTGTGGCACGATCGTTGCGCATGTACCGAAGACCATGCATGAGATGGGAGACGCGCACCTCACAGAGGGGCTAGGTACACACGCTGACAAAAACTTGTCTACGCAGTTATCATCGGAGCATGCAAGCCGTTTTAGGTCTGTGGAAAAAAGAAGGCATGGCCACGGTACGCACAGGTACTCAAGAACAAACTGCCACGTGAGTGGTTAGACAGCTTTCGTTAGTTCCGTGTTACGTATTCACCGTATATCGTATTCACGGCCAGATAAGTTTCGGCCGTGAACGCGAGCTACATACACGGCCACCCCAACCGGACAGTCGACAAGCACGACAAGGCGGGATTGCTTACATGAGTTCCTGCCATTGCCAACATTAGTAGGCCTAGCTGTTTGCGCATGCGCAGCCAGCGATCCAGCCAGGCTGGAAACCGGCTGTACTTTGTTCCTCGATACAGCTGAAGAAAGCCGGCGATGATACCTGACGCGCGGTCCGAAGAAAACCGGTCAGTATCTCATTAAGAGTGTGGTATTGCAGCAACCTCTAGCCGCAATATTTACGCACTAAATACACGCACGCAATGAAACACACACAATCATGTTTCAGGTGTGCGATTAGATATCGCGAGCAACTGTACTCTGCACCCTGGACGTGCCACATGACGCTACCCGTGATGCTGAAGGGAATGTGAAACTAAACAGTGGCCCTTTCCTTTCTAGTACTGGAATAACAAACTGATGGAAGCAAACTGAGGGCTTTTTAAGAGCATGAACAGCTAAAGGGATGGAACGAAATCACAAAAAGCAACAGAAAAGGGTAGCAATGTGCTTGCCCGGCAGTCATGGCAAACACAAACACATGAACATGCATCACCATGGACACTAGAAATCCGATCGCGACAATGTTCCGCCGAGAAGCCCCTATACATCCCCGAGAAATCCTCAGCATCGGGGGTGACACGAAAGAACCTTAACTTGAAATGGGGCTGACCGGAAGGTAAAATGGTTTCCAAACAAAGCGCAGAGCACGGGGAAAACGCATGCAGTGACAGTGCCCCGTGCCGGGAGGTTAAGCCCAGTTCTGAAAGGGCGGGAGCGCCGAGAGGGCGGCGGTAGGAAAACTTGGTCGCACCTGGCAGATACACAGCTCCCAGTGTCTCCAGCGCTATCACGCCGAGGTTCCGGTTGAAGTTCGTCATGAGGATCTTCTTGAACACGGACCAGTCCCAGGTCTCGTTGACGGTGATGTTTTTGCACAGCTGAAACCTGCGGAGGTGGAGTGGCATTTGCAGCTATCGTGACCCTGTCACAGACGCAAAGGTGACGAGCGGACGTTGTCGGGGATCAGTCCTTTCGGATCTGTCGATTTACTACACCATATGCTTCGATCAGCCACAACATGAGCACATTGCAGATCAAGCAATTAACAAGTAGTTTTCGAATGACTTCGGCGCGGCTGGAATAATCTGTGTCAGTATTGTCGCTGTGCAGCGAATCCTTCTACATGCACCGCACGTACTTGATGAAGTTGGCGATGTAGCCGATGAGGAACAGGACGCCCACCACAGCGAAGGCACCCCTCCAGTCGCGGAAGAACTCCAGTGGCATCTTCTCGATGTCCCGTGACATCCGCAACGGCCCCATGTCGACGGGCGTGAAGCCCATGTCGCGCACCAGCTGCACCACCTGGTGCCGCGCCCGCTCCGAGTCGGTCGCGACCGGGATCTGGGACGGTGGTGCCAAGTGGAAACGACGGCTGGTGACAAGTGATAACGGGCCCGCCGGGGTGCTTAAAGTCGCCGATGATTAGTGAGTGATGTCGGAGACTGGTGACAGTGGTGGCCGTCACCATGGTGGCAATAACCGGCACCATTACTGGGCACGGATGATAACTGGTGCCGCCTGCTGTGTGGCTGTTGTACTGTTTTGCTGTTGTTGGTGTATAAATGGTGGGGCTGTTGATCGGTAGTAAGTTTTGTTGCGCATGATTTTTGTTGTTGTTGCATGGTTCTTAAACATGTCCGTACCGGAGGCTCAGTGGACTAGAGCCTTCCGATCCACCCACCCTTGGCGATATGGGTTCGAGTCGCTTTAGGCGCCCGTTATTTGCCCCTGTCAGGCATAACCCGCGGTCGGTGGCACCGGCTGTTCTAAAGACCTGGTGACATCAGAGGACAGGACGGACCATGCCGAGCATTGCGGCATGCTGAGCTTTTGCCACTAAACTCCGCCATTGACCTGGGATTTCACGATCATATGGTAGGGGTCAGGGGTCAAACGTCAAGCACTGCTGGGTGTGAGTTTTGAGTTTTGAGTTCTGAAATCCATCCATTCAAAAAACAATCGGACGAAATCTTCAAGAAGCGGATCGGAAAACAGCGCTGCAGAACACACTGAAGTGGTATACCAACCTCCTTGCTGCCCTGGATTCCTCCTGTCTCCAGCAGGTAGGCTGACACCACGTTGAAGGCTTTGACGACGACGGCCGACGGCACCAGCTCCTGCAGATGCTCCGCGTTGGAGCGCAGGCTGCGGTCAGCAGCCCGCGCAGGTCACAGCCAGTCATGGTCCGATCTCGTTGCAGCATAACGGAACAGTAAATCGAGCCAGGCAAATTGCAGAGCCGCGAAACGCGGGCGTTCCAGACAGCGGGTGAAGCAATGCACGGAGATATGCCATTGGCACAGGGCTGCTGCATCTCGTTATGATTTGTCCAATGACAGCGCTGCTTTCCGTAAGATCTGTGAGTCATTAAAGCATGCAGGGACAACAATAATTTCCAAGGCAAACACAGCGCTGGATTCTACTAATCTGTGCTAGTTCTCCCCATAATTCCCATTCCATACGTGGCCGTGTTCATATTCTGTGCGACCGCTCTGGCTTTCCAGTCCCCACCTACCACTCAGCATCGTCACCAACGAGCAGCGCTACGGTGCTGGCCCGGCTCCAACGCCTACCTCAGCGCCTTGCCCGACACGGGGCCGTTACTGACGTCGATCAGCACCTTGTTCTTCAGCACGTGCAGCGGGAGAGAGTCGTAGAAATCGCGCGCCACGGCCACCACCACCAAGTCAGCGGCAGCGATAGCGTCCACCTGGGACGCCAGGGTGGCCCCAGTGGCTTCGATCAGCTTCATCATGTCACTGCGAGGGCGAGGGCAGGTCAGATGGACTCTAAATCGCGATCGCGCACGGCGGGCTTGCGAGGCCATGGAGCCCGACCATAAGCCCAGGCAGGGAATCTACACAATAACTGGGAGTACGTAACTTGTGCTCTCAACACTCGAGAGATGGCGCTCTCGCTTCTGAGCCCGGGGGCTGAGCAGCCTCTGCCAACTCCTCAGCGGGTTGAGATGATCGCCCCAGTGAACTGGTTTTCCTTCCAATCCCGCGCCTCGGCACGGTCCGACCGGGTCTGATAACTGCCCCGTCTCAGAAGGAGCTCGCGTCGGTGTCAGCGGACCCTCGGAACGGTGTGGTCGGGTCTGATGGTGGCACAGTCACGCAGGAGACTCGCGCTGGCGTCTGCAGACAGGCCGAAGTGCTCGAGCACGGATAATCATCGGTTCGGCGATAATCACTGTGATCAGAGCAAGGGTACAGCCACGGCGACGCAGGCGGCGCCGATTAGCCGGCCCGGTGTGGCGTGGGGAATGCGTCGGACCGAAGGAGAAACAGGGAGTGCCCACTAAAGTTCTTTTGCAGACGAGATGTAGCCCACCAGAAAATTAATTAATTTCGTTTTCTCAAAACGAGCACTAAGTTTTGATTTTAAGAGTAAATTTTGATACCCAACGCATCCCAAACGCCGAAAACTTAACAGCCTTGCGCTGTGTCTTTGGATGCAAACCTCGTCATAACAGAAGTCTACCACCACTTGGTGCTCGCCTTCCAAAAGTGCTGTCTAATGGCCACAGCTTTGTACAACTATTCCAGCGTTATTAGCAAATTCCTCTCACAATGAGAAGGCCAAGACAACGTGAAGACTATGCCACCTTCCTACGCATTCAATTTCAAAATAGCTGTATCAGTGGGACTACCCATCAGAGCCGTGCGGCCCACATCGATAAGCTACTTTCCATTAGGTACAAATAACGTTACATAATTTTTCCCCATCAAGTTGTGTATTTTTCTATTCGCGAGAAGTTTAAGTGGCAGCAATGTTGTGACATTTTCGCGTAAGCATGGGTCCAGTAGAAGGTAGGCGCGACAAAGTGGTTCCTTACAATTGGCAGCGTTTCAGTCCATAGTATCAAGACAAAGGCGAACCTTAAAATGACAATGTTGGAGTGTTATTGCAATAGTGTACTGGATTTGTCGGCCGAAAACCCCCTTTATAAAGCAGGATGTTTCGTTCCTTCCAAGAAAAATAGAACTTGACGGCTTGTTTTGTGAGACCAATCCTTTTAAGCTTCGACATGCATGGCAGGACGATGCTTGAAATTTACGTCAGCAGCGGACGTCACGGACGTTGTTGACGCTAGAGGTGCTCACTGCCATGCATGATAAGTGATAAAATGTGCGCACTTGATTGATAGGGGGACAGAATCGTAAACATACATTTTTATTAGGCGAAGTCGAAGAGCAACTTGCACATTACGGCGTTTAGACAGGTCTTGCGAATAGATGTTCCTTGCGGCATACCCATTAACACGTCACGAGTAGAAAGCATGTTTGCAAGAGATGTTGACACAAACACTAGGTGAGAGAGGTCGACTCAGATTTGCCCGACACCGCAATCCGTTCACCCATATCATCAGAAAACTGATTGTCACATGGTGCGATGCTAAAGCACCCACAACGTGTTCCGTGTATCAGCAGGTGCTCTATGCCGTGCTGAAGCGTGCGTGAATTATTTTTTCTTATCTCTGATCGCCGCATGGCGCATGGAATGACACGATTTTAATGGCGTTATTATGTCCCCGATATACCTTTCCTCATTTTCGCGGGCGTGTAGCTAAGGAACTAGAGGGGCTTAAGAAGAGTAGAATTGTAAATAGCACCGGAAGTTCTTCAAGGTGGCTACTTCAGTTCAAAACCTCATATAAACGTGGGATACGCCCTTAAGTACATACTGTATACACATCGATATAGAAAAACCGTGGATAATGTAAGGCAAATAGGACAGCCAGAAACGGCCGCATGTATGCAAGAACCATGTCCATATGTGGGTAATGCATAGGTCGGCATATCGTGGCAGACTATGGCAGATCGATTTCATGACACTGGTGTCAAAATAATTGGTCAGCTAGGAGCCCATTCTGTAGTATGCCCATTTAGGGCACAGCTCTGTGGAACGATAAGCTATTTAGTCTTGATCACAGCGGCTGATTATTTGTTATGTCGGGCGTTTATGTCATAGCATGGTTGCTTTCATCGCATCTGAGCGATGTATGAGTGAGCGCTGAAGACCTGTCTGCCGTTCAGAGGCAGACTCAGCCACAAGAGCGAAAGAGGCCTAACAAACAGTGCAAGTAAAAAAAAGAACAGAAAAAAACAGCACACGCAGCGCAACCAGCAAACGCATTAGAAATGACTTTGTTTTCGGAAAGACATGCTAGTGCAGGGGACCCTGCATAGTCTGCATACTCTCTTTTTGTGTGTCATTTTGAAACGGCAACCCATCCCGGCTGAGGGTGTCGCTGCCTCCACCTGGAAAGCCGCCGGCCAGCCAGCCATGACGCCCTCTCGCCTGCCACCGCTTCCGGCGCTCTCCAACAAAGGGCCCGCCAACAGCGGAGCGCGACGCTCTCAGAGCCGACGGGGTGGCACAGTCACGCCATTAGCGAAGCCTTTTTCAGAAGCGGTCGAACGGTCTGTGACGCCACGGTGATGTATGTGGGTCCGGACACCGCGGGACGCTGCGATGGAGAAATCTCAGAGTGGGCACCGCCCGGTTATCTCCGAGACCTGGACAGATTGGGGCAGGTTATGTAATTCAAGCAGATCATTAACGTTACGGTAATACATTTCTGACCGGAACTTTTATGAATAATTACGGCACATGCATACGGCAAATGTTACCATCGGAGCACACAGTGATACAGTGCCGCGATGTATGCATGCCGGATGATAGCAAGCAAGCCTGTGTCTTAGAGCTAGCTGGAGTAAAACGTGTGTCCCATAGAGCTCGTCCCATTTCCCAACGCTTGGTATAATATCACTTACTGCAAACTGTTCCGGAGGTTCCTTGCGAATGAATACCTCAGAGCACCAATGTGGGGTCGTCGTACTAGAAAGTCCTGCTTCCACAAACCATCAGCCATTTTTCATAGTTATTGCATAGCAAACCAACCGAATATGCTGCTACCCAGCAAACCAACCGAAGCCTATTTTTGAGCACATATATGGCAAGGATAACAGCGGCAAACATCTGAACTGTTTTGAAAGCAAGGAGCCAGTGACCAAGATTTCGGATTTTGCCTGGGCCAATGTAGCGTTTATAAACTCAGCACTGAGATAAGCAGCTTCAAGCATATCCTTTCCAGTAATCAACGCGGTTTTTAACGTTCTCACCGCACCACACCTGTTCGGCCTCCTTCTGATGTTGCTGGTAGTAAAACGCCGATGATTCACACTCGGTAACATTCTACCCCTCGCGCGCCTGCCCCTACCCATTCAAAGCGCCCACGACCACACTTCTGATGAGCCCGACTCACGCCTGCTTTTGCTTGCTGCGGGTGCCGATGGTGACCGTGTAGCCGGAGGCGACAGCGCGCTGTGCGAGAGCCCGGCCGAAGTCGCCCGTGCCGAGCACGCAGAGGCTGCGGCTGTGGCCGGGGCTGACCCCCAGCTCTATGTCGTCACGCGCCACCTCGTACCCGCCGTTGCTGGCCATCCCGCAAGCCGCGTCCAGCGAGCCGGAGACCTGCAATGGCGGCGAGCTGGCGTCAGTAGCGCACTGAGCTAGCAGGCTCGACAGGGGGGCACGCGGTTCAGCATCGCTAGGCTCTTATTTTGTATTGTATGCTGCGGTGTAACTTTTTAAAAGCACTTGGGGGAAGGGAGCTGAACCGATCAGACATCAGCAAGAAAGGCCTTAAACCTTGGTGTTTCGATGTCATGAACCTGGAGCGCTCATATTGAAAATAATCAACCTTCAGTATACAAGGAGGCGGTGATTATACGATTATACGCCACTGTCAAAAAATGTCGGTTCTGTTGAGGAAACCTGACGTTTCGAAGCTGCGCTGATGGTCAGATTTATTCGCGTTAGTCGATCAAAACTACTCCAGTATTCTCTCACTCTGGAATACATCGCACATAACATGTTGATTGGATTCCTCGACAAATTTTTGTGGTGCAACCAGGTGGAAGATAGACTGCCGAGCTCGGCTCGTTAGAGCGCGTGTTTTGATTCACGGACCAGTCGTCAGCTGCGTTCGAGTCGCTTTAAGCGTTTGCTATGCCTTACCGATTGGGATAGCTTGCGGTCGTCGGCAGCGGCCGAGTCGCTTTAAGCGCTCGCTATGCCCTGCCGATTGGGATAGCTTGCGGCCGGTGGCAGCGGTCGCGCTAACGGTCAGATAGTGTCAGAGGGCAGAATGGACCGTGCCGAGCACTGCGGCATGTTAAGCTTTCGTCGCGAAGTTCTGCCCTTCACCCGGAATCACTGATGACTACCGCTGTCGCTGGTCGTGTTTTCCATTCAATCAGCAGTCGAATATCACCGTAGTGACGATTGTGCGACACTTGCCACTGTTGAAGAAAACATGGATTAATCTAAGCCATGTTGTACTTTTAAAAGCTGCCGCATACAGCAGTTGGTTGTTCTTTATCCCAACCCAGGTGTTATAATGTAAAAATCCTGTTAAACATTCACAGCCAGCCCTCACATATGAAGGAGTTGCAACGACAAAACATTGAGTACTTGCCGGTTACTATTTGATACAAGATGGATGTGGTGCTAACACCCATATGTCCAGGCATTTAGTGTACCATTAATGAGGATGCTTTTTTCTGTATTTCTTTGGCCCAGCACTCTCATTTGCTTCTGAGGGGGCTCAAGTCGATATTGAGGGATCAAGAGCCCCGACAGTATGAAAGCCATACCGCTGACTGTACGCCGCAGCGCAAACTTTTCAGTGACGCGGTTGTGGGATATTAGCAAGAACCTACAAATATTCGTGTCTTAATCCACAAAATATGTGATTGTGGAGACAGCATTTCCTTACCCACTTTTTCACGCAAAACTAAGGGACCATAACAGCGCTACCTTGACCAAAGTGAAATGCAGGCTGGTTATCTCCCGCTGTCACTTATTAGCAGCTGTGGAATGACTGGTGCAACCCACTAAACGTGACTCTACCGCACCCACCCTTCCCAAAAACAGCATCTTCAGTTCGAAATCAAGCTGGTGCGGATACTGTGCAGGATGTCCCATCGCCAGAGATCTTTAATTGACCGCAAAGCGGTCACCAGTAGGCAATTTTACGGCACCTCAAATGCTATTCTATACATATTTGCCTAGATCCAAAGCATATTTGCCTAGATCCAAAGCACCCTTTACGGTGCTGTATGATCGCGTCCAAAACTCAGCCAATCCTCCTTGGCGATCCTGATAGTAGCTCGGCGGGAAATGACGCCTGGCTACCACCAGGTTAGTGGTAGTAGTAGTGGTAGAACCAATGAGCAGGCGCCCACCAGCGCCAATAACAATGGGAGGGGCTGTGATTTAGCGGAGTAGCGTGCGCAATTGGATCTGATGGATCTCGTTGATATGCAAAGGAGTTGTGACGAAATGAAATGATAGCTTATCGTACTCAGGTAAACGTACATCAATGAATTTGATCCCGCACTGTGTAGGAGGGTTTTGAATGAGCTTTCGTCGTGACAAATCAGCCTGTGATTGTATGGAATTGCTCGAAAAGCATCTTGTTTGTACGTTTAGAATTATCGTTTATGTTCTAACGATGTGCATTGGTGACCTCATACACGAGCTCCGAGATGTGAACATTATTTTCTGCGAGAAATTACGAAAGCCACAACACAGAAAGTCATAATGCAACCGAGTGCAATAAAGCAGCAGCCGCTTTCGCCAAACGACCCAAACGACCCACATGACACAAGCTGTACTCCTGTCGATGTCAGACTCTTCCACGAAAGTCGAGTCAAGGCGCTTTTCAGCAGCCAGCGTGGCCCAGATTGGTGCAGATTTCTCGTCCGACGCCACCAACCGCGGTCTGTCGGGACGCGTCTGGACGGACCGTCCATCTGTCCCGGAGCGGCGCTGCGGCTGTCCCGGAAGTTATGCATTTACACTGCGGAGCAACCGCAGAGGGTGCACCAACCACGCTTAGTATGACGAGAGCTTTTTATGTGATGGTTGCTCTGCACCAGGTCGGTGTTCTTGGAGCTGTGAGGGCAAC